TGAAATAAAAGAAAAAGAAAAACCTCTACAACTAGCTTTCGGGAGAACCAGAGTTTGCGCTTCTCATCTCCCCAAGGTCTAGCAGTCCAGGGAACAAAAGCATAGAAAAACAGCTGGGTCCGTACATGCTGGGACTTCACTGAACCCAGAAAACAGCATGGTCAGGCTTAGCCTTCTTATCCCTTTGTCTTTTCATTTCCCTCCTTTCTCTTTTACTCTTCAAATCCATATTTCCTGCCTACAACTTTTCCCATCTCAAGTCACTTGGTTGATCCCTCTCAATTTTTCCTCCCCCACATCTAAAATAGCTTTTCCAGAAACTGAAATACTTAGCTCTTATTGACAACAGATGCTGTTTCTGCCAAGAATTAGGGTTTTTTCCTTATGTTTCATTCCTTCTCTTCTTTTTATCTGCCAGGGTCTTTTTTTGCTTTGCTTGTCTCCTTTCCCGCCTGGTATCCTATTCTTTCACTTTTCTCCCTTCAACACTGTGCTTCTCTCCCCTTTTCCCTCATTTGTACCTCCTTGCTTCCGCGACTTACGTCCTGTTTCTCCCCTGGTGGGGATCTCAATCCCTTTTTTTTTTTTCCCTGCCTTTTCCCCTCTCTCCCACTTTCCTCACTCCCCTCTGCCTTCAGGTACCTGATGCAGCTGTACAGACATCTAACTGCTGCTCTGCCTGCAAATCCTGGAAGGAGTTGACCAGCCAGAGCACCCGTTGATGTCAAGAGGAGCTGCGCGTGTCCTGTGGCCGCCAAACAACTCCCAGGCTGTAAGGGGCTGCCTCTTCCCACCCAGCCTATCTTCTCATGTCTGTCTGGAACAGAAGTCATTGCAAATAGTTACAGGCAAGAGAAACCATAAAATTGTGGCAATGTCTAGAAAAAGGCAACAATATTTAGGTAAAACATTTAATAATAAGCCCCGTAATTTAAATATTTTTTCTATAATGCTCCTTTCTCTGTCTACAGCTACATTGTGCATTAGCACAAGCAAAATTAAAGTTAAAAGCTAGGCGTTTCATAGCAGTGATGTGTTTTTAACCATTTTCATTGTTGCAAGTAAACATGGAAGCAATAATAATTCTCACTAGCTCACTCATCTTTAAAAGCGAAATTCTTTCCAGCAACACAGTAATACTCTAACCCAGAACTTTTTAAAAATTGAAAACACATTCCGTATGTTATGTAAAATATATTATATTACACAATAAACCACAGAGACATTTTAATCAACTCAATAGTCTAGTGAAGTCCCAAGAGTCAAATAAATAACGGGAAGATGAACATTCCTCTATCTAAATGCATTCTCCTCCCAGAACTACAGAGAACATGACACAGCACAGAGTTACCTGTGTCTCTCAGGGACAGACAAACACCATTTAAGCCTAACGTTCAGGGTCACCATAATGGGCCCAATCCACTCCACACTGAAATCAACTGGGATTTTTCCTACTGATGTCAAAACTGACTGTGGCTCAAGAGCCTTTCTTAGCAGATTGCATGCTGAGGCCCTACTGTAGGTGTGGATCACAGAGGCCAGAAAGCTCCAGCATTAACCTGGAAAAGGGAAATCGAAGTCAACAGAATTATTAACCTTGCTTAGAGCTGAGCACCTGATTAAATAAATGCCAGATCAGAGCCAAAACACCCACCCCCTGTGGCAAAGTCCTAAGCCTCAGAGTGCACGGCAAGGTTCACAAGTCAGAAACATCATTCCTCAACTTTTTAAACGATGATCGTTTCGTTGCCATACTTTGAAAAATAATTTTACAAAAATGCATGAGGGTGTTCAAGTGTTACCTTCCCTCGGAAATTTCATGAAAAAAAAAAAAATGCTCTACGTGCACGTAAACAGCATTTTTTTGTGGCACAAAAGACAACCGGGGTACCTACGAACCCCAGCATCACTTGCACTGCAGGATCTGCATCTGTAGCACAAACTTTATAAATAACTCGGCTCATAGTGCACAGACTGGCTCTTATGATCCAAAATTGCTTTCCTCCAGACCTGACAACAGCAAAAACTTGTGTTTGTCAGGAAAGCGACCACATGTGATTTACTACATGAAGAACAAGCTTAAAGAAATAACCAGTGCTATTTTACAGTTACACTTCAGAGGAGTATCACCATATTTTGAGCTTCCTATTACACTCATTTTGTTTAAGAAATGTAAGTCGTCCCATTTCCAAACTACTCCAAAGTGCCATTGCACGTACAGATAGGTATGTACCTATGTGTATACACCTTCTTTTAAGTAGTATGTTACCAAAAAAAAAAAAGTTCTTTTTAAAAATGCAGAAAAGTTATTGGCAAGTTCTAATTCTGAGTGTGATTCTCCTAATTTCTTCCAACAGGCAGTAAGCAGGTGGCTATGGCACTGTGCTCCTTTTATTTTTCACCAACCCCCAAGAGGAATAGTTACTTTTTTTCTAAAGACATATGAATCTTTTGTGAATGACTCTCATGGTTTGGTCCTCAAACAAGGACAATGACCTTTCATTAAACTTTAAATTCCAAACTACCAAGGTCACCAATACTCACAGAAAAGGTCATCAAAGTTTTAAAGTCCTTTTCTGTGTAGTAATTTTTATTTATTTGCACTTGTACTTCACTGTTACTTTTAAGATTTCCTTCTGCCAACTAGTAACTTAAGGAACTCTTTGCAGATCTTCTTTCTTAAAAACATATTATGGAATGAATGTTAACCTGTTAAAATTGCAACTTTAGAGAAACTATGAGTAACAGGAAGGACAAGTCTGGAAATCTCTGTAGTCTTGGGTATGTTTCTTTTGTTTCTTCATTCATGTTTAAGAAGGCATTTGTACACTTAGGCAGCCTGATGAAATCTTAAAGTGATTAAGATACAAAGATGAGCCTTTATGACCCTTATGAATTCCCAGGAATGTTATCCAAGACCAAAAATGAAAATATACCAATTGCATTTGGTATCACAGAGCATTTCACCATCTCCAACATTTTAACGTTTTGAGTAAGTACTGATGCCTGCTTATAAATAAGGGAAATGTAAATGGTTTTGCTCCGATTTCACTGCCACCAAAGAGCCCAATCAAGAGAAGCTAGTTATGACGCTGCCATTGAACACACGTTAAAAGTTGAGAAGGTGACAGCATGTTTTCACCCACTACAGTTAAGGGTATCTGAAATACCACTGTCTGCACAGACGTGCAGACCTATTACAAGAAAAAGATGCAGTATTTGTGGCATTTGGAGTCCTCCCTAAGTCATTAAGTAAGCGCAACTTAGAATCTAATCTAGGTCTACTTAAAGTGCAATCCTTTTGTGTACACTCCCACTTACAGGGAAAGCCAGCTCCCAGCACCTGGGGTATCAGATTCTTGCAGCATCCATGACACTTGTAAGCATTCAGTGGTCAGAACACCACTACATATCCTTCAAATGACATGGACCAGTGAAGCTGGAAGGTATCTTCACTGAACCAAGCCGGCTGGTATCTCAGCAATCCACCAGGACACGAGCCCCAGCATGCCCCCGGCGGTGTGCAGAATCTCGACTGAGAAGGAGGTGGTGGGTTTTGCATTTTTGAAAGTCAACAGTTTTGAATATTGGCATGCAAAGGGTACACGCCAGTTACAACAGCGGTGCCTCAGAAATACTTTACACTGCAAAATCCTGGTATTCGTGTTTTACTGTAGGATTGTGGAGTGAGAATCAGTTAGACAGCAAGGTGATAAGCACAACAAAACACTAACAGAGCGAGCTAGCCAGAGATAATAAAAGAAGGCACAGCATTTCCAAAGTTAAATCATCAGGGTACCCATTACATGAAAATACAAAGAATCCTCTGCATTAATGCTAACAGAGTGTATTATCTAAAATATTTAATAATGTACTAGTTTTTCTTGCTGCTGTTAAGTCATTAATAATATCCACCTATTAGTTAAAAAGCTGAACAATACAAAGTGTGCTTTGATTTCTGCGCTACCGTGCCACTGTACTTGGAAGATGGTATTATCTTTCAATTTTTGAATGAAATGAAGTATAAACGTATTTTAAAAGAAGAAAAATACACGTCCCCCTTCTTTTCGGGTATATTTACTGCTCATTAAACTACATACTGTGCTTTCAGTTCCTAACACCAACCTCATACTGTCGATCTTTGACATCATGATTCATTACCTTATTAAACGAAAATAACTGACATGTCACAGGCGTTAAGGACTACGAAGTCACAAGTTTCCACACACAATACGGACACCACCCGAACACCGGCAACAGCAGGGTGTGCACGAATAATGCCGTTATTCACGAACACAATTGATTAGATTTAGGACTTGGACATCACAGCTTAAAACACCCCGAAGACACAACTCCTTGTTAAGGAGTAACATTGCGGGGGGTGGGGGTGTGTGTGTGATAAAATAAATAAATATGGCCTGTAATAAATGAATTACAACAGGTTCCCCAGACGCGGGCCGCCCCACATTCACTCGCTTGCCTCACGGACTAGCCACCAC